AAGTTTCATAAAAATATCTATAATAACAGAGTTTTTATATTTTTTTTTGAAAAATTTCCCACCCTGTATCTCAAAAGTTAAGATGTTTAGGACATAAATTACAAAGTTTTTTTCTTAGAGTCGCCTCTTTAAGAGTCGCCTCTTTAAATATTAACATGTTATTAAGGAGTACCCTTTAGGTTTGCTATAATCAACTGTCAAAAAACGACTTATTGTCCGTACGCTCAACTCTTTTGTTTTACCATAATTATCACGGTAGCAGGCGGTAGCAGATAAATGCTACATTTTTGTGTTTGTTATACTACAGCAATTTTATGGATATAAGTGGTAGAGCGAATCCTGTCGAATCTCAATTTATATGGTGTAAAGGTTTGATGTTTTTGTATTTTCATCTACTTTGTGTTGATGTTATTATCATATTTTTTCTGATAAACAAAATAATACTTAAATGCAAAAATTAAAATAAAATTGGCATTTGTGTAATAAAAAAGTTTACAAGTTTTAAAAATTTATTTTATTTTTTGATATTTATTATTTATTGACTATACATTAAAAAAAGGATCTAAATTGTTGATTTGATAAGTTACATACACATAATAAAACACATCCTTTTAACCGGTTTTAAGTTTAATTATAACTTAACTAACTATATAATAACGAACACATAAAACTTTGTTTTTTTGAGTGTAATAAATTATTTTTGCTCAATTTTAAGTGTCTTTCCTTGTCAGCATAAGCCAACCTCTATCCAATGCCTATTTTTCTGAGAGTTTGCCTCTATTAAAATAATGTGGTTGGAATTCAAAATTTTCTACCTATACATCTCCTTATGGTATTGTGTGTACTCCACACGCAATGCATTGCAATTTTTCAAATAAGAAAATAATGAGCTTAACAAAATTAAAAACGATTTTAACTTTATTTTACTAACAGTTCAAATATCTGCATTTATTTCTGAGACACCCTGTATAATAATCCAATCACGAGGATATATCTAAATCGACTTTTTAAAATATTAGGTAGTCACCTTTCTTGCCTTATGCGTTTTCGGATTAGTTATATTGGTGGAGACCGATTTCCAGTTTCTGTAGATAATTTGAATACTAATATCAAACTCTTTCTATTTGAGCCGTTAATTTTAAACGCATTCTCGGGAAAGACACTGTTATACCTATTGCAACAAATTGTATGAAGGAGATTTTTAACTGACGTTGATATAAGTTAACTCTATCTGAGTTTATTTGCACAAACATCGCATGATGCATCCTCCTGGTCAATGAGTAATAGGACTATCTGACAGCTATTTATCTAGAACATCGACCGAATGCATTGGATAAGTTGAAATCGACTCAAATCTCTCATTTATCTGCACGTTCAGATAATCCGAGAAAAAATGCAATATAAAAAAAATCATCTCTTTAGACATATAAAAAAAAACAATTTGGGTTAAAAAAAAACAACAAAGTTAATATAGGGTGGTGGCACCTCATTAGCCTCCGTTGATTATACGAAAACGGAAAGATGTACAAACGAAACATTTTATGGGTATATGTGGGGATGCAATGTCCACAATTTAAAATTATTTTGAAATATACAGGGTGTTTCATCATTTTATTCAGGGTATTTTTTTCATTTTTGGATTCTTGTATCCAAAAAAAGTATATATTATATGGATTGAATATGGTTGAAATCCTTGGTTTTAAGATATCTAAAGATATTTAAATATGCATGCTACAATAGAATATATTATCAACACCCTGTACCAGAGGCGGATCGTGAATTTGTGGGGCCCTGGGCTGAAACTACTTAGAGGCCTACCTAAGTACTCAATTATAGCCATGTCAAAAAACATTGTAGTGACCCGCCATATTGGCAGCGTTGTCATAAGATTGCCCCCTCAGTAGTAATCCATTTGTTTCTATAAAGTCTTGTAGAATATTAAATAAATGTAAGGCAGTATGACTACTAATTTTAATGAAGGCAACACATCTTTCATATACTTTTCCCCGAAAACAGTATCGTAATACAATAGCAAGTTGTGAGACAGATCTGGTGTAGAATCCATCACAGTTGAATAATATTTTGTGTCTTTGTGTGTTTTTGATAAGTACGATATTATCGGTTTTGGTGGCAGCTCCCGATATTCAATGTGTTCACGAATGAATGGATCGAACTCTGCCAATAGCTCCAGACTCCTCATAAAATTACCATTATGTGGAGAACCAAATACTTCCTCGGAACCTCTAAATGCTAAGCCTCTTATACTCAAAAAATTTTACCACTACAATTACTCGTTTTTGGACATTCTGATAATAATATATTTCTTTTCTTAATTACTCCTGAAGCGCTTGCCTAAAACAGATTTATTTTCTTTTCGTGTCAACCACACTAACATTGATTTCTTATGTTCATTAGAATTTTCGTGGGTTTCTAAACAAGTTCCTATGTGTTTCCAATCAGAAATTCCAGTCGTGTATTGAGAAGAGGTTTAAAAAAAAAGTTTGCAAGGCATACAAAAAACAGCACAAACACTTGTTGAATATGTTAGCCAAGATCTTTCCAGTGATTGACCATTTTTCATTTTTTAGCGAAATGGCTATTTCAAAATGCTCTGTTTTGTTCCTTGTATTTCTTTATAGAAGCTGAATATATATTTTTTGGATTTTTATTTTGAAAGTCAGTCATTTTATGTGAGAGGATGTCATTAAATCATTATTTAGCATTTCTGGCCACAAGCCCACGTCAACATATTTCTCAAACTCAAAATTAATAGGTATTCTCTAAATCCGTGTCTCTGTCTCCGTGTTTGTGTTACCATCCTGTCGCTGAACACCAATATCGTTTCCGTTTGATCAGAGGGTTGCTGGTAGTCAAAACTTTGCACATTTTCATCATTTGTCTTTTTTTCTTGGTGTTGCGATTTACTACTCCCTTCAAATAGATTCTCTTCAGATAAGATCCCTTCCTTGGCGCTTGTTGATGAATTTTCAGCGAGTTCGTCCTCGTTTTTATGTTTTGATTTGAAAAAAGTCCCAATTTTTGCACATTTTTTTCTTTCTTTTTCTCAATCTAGCTGTAATTTGCGTTTTTCAGCTCCTATACTTTCGACCAGACATTATTGTAAATAAGACTTTGATTTTTTTCTGAAAATAAACAGTGAACGAGATAATCGTTGCATTTGAATACATGAATACTTTGTAATGAGTGCAGTAATTAAAAATTATGGTAGTTTTTTTTAATTTAGATTTTTTTTTAAATTCAAATTATCGCCTATTGTTTTTAGCGCGGTCTGGGGGCCCCTTGTAACCTCGAGGCCCTGGGCTGCAGCCCAAACAGCCCTTAGATAGATCCGGCCCTGCGGCCTGTACGTTACTTTTTAGAATTAATTCTTGTGCTGAGTTTAAATGTAGAGTATACAGGGGTACCAAAAATTGCTGATCTATTTTAAATATTTACTTTACATAAAAACTTTGTTATTTAAAATGCAATACCCCGTATTTTTTAAATAAATTTTATTTCAAAAATTCGATTTAAATGATCTTTCAAACTATATTAGGATTTCCTATACCTATCTAGCCCAGATTTTGAATAAAAAGCGATTTTTCAATAAAATGGCAATCAAGATGGCTGGTGTCGCCATGGCAATTTTCTAGTGATAGTAACTATTTTCAAAATTGAGATTGATTGAGATATTGAGATTATCTAGATTTATAACAGTTTACTTAAATTTATCCATAATAGTTTAATAAGTATTCATTATTTTATCAAGAAAAATAAAGCACTATCTGGCGGAGCAAATGGATATGTTACTAGTGATTTTATTTTATGAGGAGAATCGCTTCTTGGCTTTAAGGACTTATGCTCAAAGATATCCATATAAGAAGCTTCCTAATAAGAAAAAAAGTTCCTTTGAAAAACTATTTGTCCTATTTCGCAGAGCTGGTAGTGTGGTTTATAAAAAACCTATTAGGCAGAAACCTTTGTAGTTGAAAGTGAAGAAAATTAATTTGCCCGTAATTGACGCTATAAATTTAAATAAAGTCCATACACTAATTTCGATTTTGAGAAGAGAGAAAATAGCTATTAACTGGCACTAGAAACTTGGTTGCCAATTTATTGAAAAATTATTCTATTCAAAATCTCAGCTAGATAGGTATGGAAACCCTAATATAGTTTGAAAAGGCATTTAAATCTGCTTTGTTTTGTTTTAAAAACAGGGTGTTGTATTTGAAATAACACAAGTTTTTATGTAAAATAAATATTTAAAATAGACCAGCAATTTTTAATACCCCTGTATACATTAAACGAAGCAATCAAATTTTTCAGTAAAGTTTATTTCTCTGACTTAAAAGTGAGTACAAAAATTAATTCTGGAAAGCAATGTTCAGGGTGTTGACAATTTTTTTATTATAGCATGCATATTTAAATATCTTTAAATATCTCAAAACCCAAGGCTTGTAAACATATTTAACCCTTATAATAAATGTCTTATTTTGTGTCCAATGATCCAAATATGAAATAAAATAATGGGGTGTTCCACATGAAAAATATAACTTTGGTGTGGATCTTAGTTCTGACATACCCTGTACATTTAAAAATAATTATAAATTATGCACATTGCCTCCCCATATTTACTCATAAAGTATTAATTTGTACATCTTTCCGTTTTCGTATAATCAACCGAGGCGAATAAGGATAATAATAAAAATAAAGACAATGTAAGTTCGATGCAGCGGTCTTTTACTACAAACAATTCAAACTAAATAAATATTAGTCATACACGCAGAGAGAAAACGCTACGACAAAATATTGGAAAGTTATAAAAACAAGCTTAGAGATATCTATAGTTTTCCAAACATTAAAAACAAATTGGGAAAACCTCAATTATTGTACAAAATATGTCAAACTGACCTTAATAATTTTTTTGGCGTGGGTTGTACCGACGCCACTGGTAAAATACAACTCTATAAGAGTGAGATGTTAGACAATCCAACTAGTTAACTCAGATCCCTTGCAAGTTAGTGATAAAAATATACCATATATAACATTTATTAGCGATATGCCTGGACCGTCCAGACCACTTTGGCAAGTAAGTGCAGAACTTCGGTTGAACTGTATAACTCTATCTGTGTGACTGTTACACTAATGATCTATTATGGCCGGTACATATGAATTACCTTTTTACTAAGTAGCTTTAATTTTAAGGTTTATTCCCATTCGTTCATCTCCACTATACGTTTATGGATTTTTTAAATAATATTCGCAAAAACAATATTCGTGTTTTAATATTAAAAGAATGTATAAGATTAAAATGTAAAATACTAGAAATTAATCATAACATAGTGTAGTTTTAAACGCACGCTTGTCAGATATATCTGTCGAGTTTGACTTTTTTTAAATATGTTAGTGATAAATATACCGACTGTAGATGAATAAATGCAAAAAAATAAAGTGGCAATTAAGTGATTTCTTAAAAAGGGGGATATTGTAATGTAATCTTTCTATTTGATTTTGCTTTTTTACAAAGTCATTTGAATATACGAATAGAACCAAAATCACAATATTATCGATTATTTTTTTCAAATATGGGTCATAGAAACTTGAGTCAAATGCCAAAATTAATTTTGGATTTGTTTTATTTATAAAATTGCATTTTTATGTATAATTCTAATTTAAGAATTGTCTATCATATACAGGGGTATTGTCCTATTCTTGTGGCTTTTTTACAAAGTCATTTGAATATACGAATAGAACCAAAATCACAATATTATCGATTATTTTTTTCAAATATGAGTCATAGAAAGTTGAGTCAAATGCCAAAATTAATTTTGGATTTGTTTCATTTATAAAATTGCATTTTTATGTATAATTCTAATTTAAGAATTGTCTATCATATACAGGGTTATTGTCCTATTCTTGTGGCATTTTTTAAGATTTCCAAGACACCTCGAATTATTATGAATGTAACAAATTAATGGACTACTTTAGAACGATTTTAAACTTTATATTCGTACTGTATTTTTGTAATGTAATTTTTGAAACAAAACCGATCTAAACACAAAAATATTCGTAATTTTGAAAATATATCATATCTGGCTTATTAAGTAGTGTATTATCATCTTACCAAAATATTGAATCATTCCATACCTTCAAAACAAATTGTTCATTTTTAGAAAACTATATATAGACTGTATTGCGTCAAGGCGTTAAAATCATGTTTATACGCTAGGTATTTTTGGAAATTGAATTTTTAATGTAGGACTTTGGAGTTTTTTGGGAAATCCATGAAAACCGTGGGAATTCCAACATAAGAAAGTAAATTTGTATGAAAATTTATTTTATTAAAATTAATTAAATTATTACTAAAATTTTATTATCACTTAAAATACTGTACTAGGTATAGTGTTACTAATTAATAGTGTGTACTGTATAGTTGTTTTAATTATTTTTTTGTTTCATTTCTCTGTCTTTGTTATTTTTAATAATATCTCCTAAGAAAAAGTCAGCTGGAATGTTGTCGAATACTTTCTGTAAAATGTCAATCATAATATCTTCAATAGTCCTGGACAAAATTGGGTTTAAAGATTCAGCTACTGGTTTCCAATTAGCATTTAGATAAGCATTTGTTGAATCCTCTGAAATAAATTATGTAAATGTTATTAACGATATAAATTTTTATACAAAATAAATCGAAAAAATAAACTAGAAAGAAATGAATCTAAATTAGGTCGAAAAAAGTATACCCCTCTTAGAAAAATATATCTATACAGGATGATTCACCGCGACGACACGTTAGACGTTTATGGAGTCCCACGATGAGTATCACCTCTCCATAAACATCTAACGTGTCATCGTCGCGCCGTGAATCACCCTATATAATTAGTAGAATGTTCTTTAAATGCCGCCAAAGATTGAAAACTAAACAAGTATTTTTATTTAAAACTAATTTCTCAAATATTTATCACTTATTTGTTATTTACTTTCATATTATTAATAAATTTTAATTATTGATAACAGTTTTAACTTATTTTATCTTTATATGGCTATTATACTGTGTATTTGAGATGAACTTACCTAATGCTTTGATTCCTTCAAATAAATTTCCCATGTGTAATTTTAAACCATCAATACTAAACTTAACATGAACTTTCGTAACATTAAAAAAGTGAAAACCATTACGTTGTTCCAAAATAACATCCGATTTAACGTTAATGTTAAGATCTCCTAAAACGTAATATGGTTTTATTACTTACACAGGACCTGTAAACTAATTAAATATAAGATCTCTTCTTATTTCTTATAAAATATTCCCTTAGGTTTTATTATAAATATATTTCTTAAAAAATGAACTTAACCTGATGCTCAATTATTATATAGGGTGGCGCACCTCATTCGTCTCGGTTGATTATACGAAAACGAAGATGTAGAAACAAAATATTTTATGGGTATATGTGGGGAGGCAATGTGCACAATTTGAAATTATTTTGAAAAATACAGGGTGTTTCAGAAATAAGATCCATACCAAAGTTATATTTTTTCTTATGGAACACCCGGTATTTTATTTCATTTTTGGATTCTTGGGTTCAAAAAAAGGCATTTTTCTACAAACGTCAGTAAAAATGTAATTTTTAACGCATGCTGTCAGTGCCTAAAATGTGACATTATGTCACTGATGGTAAAAGTAATTTACTTTTAGCACTGGTGTTTATTTCGCAGAGCTGGTAGTGTGGTTTATAAAAAACCTGTTAGGCAGAAACTTGTCGTTGGAAGTGAAGAAAATTAATTTACCGTAATTGTCTTCTTTTATAGAAAGTCCATATATCTACAAGTCATCGAAAAATAACTCAAAGAACTATTTCATAAAATAATAAATACATATTTAATAAATATTATATATTAAGCTATTGTTGGTAAATTAAATAAAAGTAAACTGGTATAAATTTAAATAAGTCCATAAACCAATTTCGATTTTGAAAATAGCTACTAACTGTCACTAGAAACTTGCCATGACGACACTAGCCCTCTTGGTTGCCATTTTATTGAAAAATTGCTCTTTGTTCAAAATCTGAGCTAGATAGTTATAGAAAACCCTAATATATAGTTTGAAAGAGCATTTGAATCTGCTTTGATTTATCATTATATAAAAAATACATGGTGTTGTATTAGAAATAACGAAGTTATTATGTAAAATAAATCCTTAAAATAGATCAGCAATTTTTGATACCCCTGTATAAATTTAAGCAAGCAATAACATTTTCCAGTAAAGTTTATTTCTCTACCTTTAAATTTAGCACAAGTATTAATTCTGCAAAGTAATGTACAGGGTGTTAATAATCTATTCTATCTATAGAAGCATGAAAATTTTAATATCTTTAAATATCTCAAAAACCAAAGATTTTAAACATACTTAATCCATATAATAAATGTCTTGTTTGGACCCAGGAATCCAAAAATTAAATAAAAAACCGGGTGTTCCATAAGAAAAAATATAACTTTGGTATGGATCTTAGTTCTGAAACACCCTGTATATATCAAAATAATTTTAAATTGTGCACATTGCCTCCCCACATATACCCATAAAATATTTTGTTTCTACATCTTTCCGTTTTCGTATAATCAATCGAGGCGAATGAGCTGCGCCATCCTGTATAAGAAAAGGGAAATATTCTGCACATACTACATGAAAAAATAACTGGTGATTAAAACTATGCTCGCTACCGTAGTTGAACTCATCTAAAAAGTTATTTTAACTGGAATAACTAGAATTATAATACAAGTTAGACCTTCTGAAAATATAATTCCCGTATAAATTTTTCGTATTCTCGCTATTTAAACCCGTGTATTTGTAAGTACTAGTTGTTTACGATATTATCCGATGGTGGCAGCACCGGCGGAGAATGCACCAAGCCTATAATACTCCCGCACATATTGTAAAGAGATTTGTCTCCTTTTTTTTACTCTTATTGTGGATATTAAATCGGTATTCAATTTATCGCGTTTGTTTGTTTTCACTTTATATGTATAATATCTTCATGCTCAAGCAACTTGTATATTGCAACGTACACATTTTAAAATTTTATTCCTACTTACTCGCATCAAACCAGCATGTGCCTTTACCCCTCAAGGGTATTAATAATATTCTCCCGAGAAGTTCATAATTTCCATCGATCCGTAGCTTTGGTAAATGTAATTTTGTATAAAAATCATACGTTTCTGGATCTACACTATTAAACAATATTTTAGTATTACCAAAACCTAGTATGGTCACATCAGTTAATGAGGCGTTCACAGTTACAGGCCCTCCACCACCTTGAAGAATCTAAAAAAAAAAATAGAAAATTTAAAATGAGCTGTTTGAATAGATCGAAGTAATAGAAAAAGCATAGATTTAGTTAACCATACATTATTTTTTATGGGAATAAAGCCTGGAAAATATTAAAATCAATTCCCCCACCATTTTGTTATAGCAGATACGGCAAAATGGTTTACACCAAAAAATCCGAAATTGAAGATTGATCATATGAAGATTATCATTTTATTATTTCTAGTGTCTCTTATCTAAGCAAAATTTTTAGCTCAGTTTAGCACTCTAGCGGCCATTCTACAAAGTTGAAGTAATTTCCAGCAATTTTTTTCATGGTCTCTTTGATTATAAATATTTCTGTCTGCAGAATATAGTAAATACTTCATTAGATTCTGATTTTCTAGCTTAAAATAAACCATTTGTCTATTTTCTAAGCATACACAATAAGGTGACATGTTTCTTGGTATATTCTTTGGTGACATGGCATTGGTAATATCTGTTATTCATAACTTCCTATCGTAGAGAGAATTTATAGAAGATTCGTGAGTGAAGTAGCGGGCAAGAACTAGTGTAAACTAAGATCAAGACAATAATTGATAAAGTTTCAACAGAGTATCTGAACCGACGAGTAGTGACAGTCCCGTTTTCAAATTTCTTTGCGGCTGCGCGAAATAAGTAGGTTATCTGTCATACGAAGAAGCGCAGTTGCCGCTGTTGCCATTTATCAAATATCTCTATATACTTTATTTCAAGTATACCTCAGGCAACGAATCGTTTTTTTAATTATTTATTAGCAGTAAGATTAATTTCCTACGTCAGTTTAACTTAATAACCTTTAGCTTTGATCAATAACCGGAGGTCGGTTATTTTCTATTTTAGCTAAGTTCTGGAAATTAAAAGACTTGGTTTTCTACAATCATGATTTGACTACAAACTACAAAAACGAAACTTTGTAGTGTACCGAGCAATAATAATCCCCACCATGTTATGGTAACATCATGTCTCAAACGTATCGGTCCTTGAAAAAGCTAGCTGCGAGAGCGCTGAAGTCATGATTACTAAATTCCGCTTAAGATGGGCTGGTCATGTATGCAGGATGTAAGAAAACCGCCTACCAAAAGAGGAACCCGTGTGGACAATTCAAAAGGTACAAGAATATTTTCCAAGGAAAACTTAAAAGGGATCTCTTATAAAAGGGAATTATGAGTCTTTCCATATTGTCCGGACTTTTCCTCATTATATGTCCAAAATATTTTAGTTGTTTTAGTCGGATTTTACAGGAAAGCCTGTTAGTAATATTAAGTTCATTTATAATGGAAACGTTTGTACGGCGTTCAGTCCATGGGATATGGAGCATATACGTCTGTAACAATACATCTCGGTAGCATCGACCTTCTTACGTTACGCCTGCCTGAGAGTCTATGATTCGCAGCCATACGTCAATATTGGGAGTACCAAACAGTTGACTACAGTACATCTGCTGGATCTGTGTTTATGAAAGGAATGCGGACAAAAAATATTTAAATAAACAGCAATATATTTAATACGTCGATTTGACGAGTGCGTCACCGCAAATCTCTCTGCCCACTCATTTTATTGGCTACTTGCAAATTTGTTGAATTTTTATTGATGGGACGCGTCGTCTATTTTTTTACGAAAAACATCGAGAGAATATCGTTTCCCCTCTCACGGATACCCCGTAGCTACAGAACGGACAGACGCACTGTAGCCGGTTTTTGATGGCTCTTGAAATCTGGCGGTCTTTCCAGATCTTGATCAGTCTCCCAACAGCTACCTTTGCCATGTTGCACCTACGCTTCACCTCTTGTTCCAATGTGCCTGTATTTGTCAATAGTGATCCCAGGTATACGTACGACTTAACGACTTCAAAGCGGTCGATATAACTTATATTTGGATGGTTGTTATGTTGCCTATCAACTATCATAATTTTGTTTTTTTGTGTATTTAGTTCCAGACCGAGCTGATTGCTTTCGTTTTCTACCCTATTTACTAAATTGATTAACTCTTCTTGCCAGCGAGTAGTGCTGTATCATTTGCAAAGCGTAGATTATTTATTTTTTGCCATTTATTGAAATACCTCCTTCCCATGTTTCTAGCGACCTTCTCATTATGTATTCTCCGTATATGTTAAATAGTTGAGGAGACAATATACACCACTGTCTGACTCCTTGTTCGAGGGAAAATTCCTTTGACGCTGAATCCAGTATTCTAACTGATCCTGTAGTGTGCTGATACAACTGGATGATAAGTGAAATAAGGTGTTGTGGTACCCCCACTTCCTTTAAGATTTTCCACACGTGATGCCATCTGACTTTATCGAAAGTCTTCTTATAGTCTACGAAGCAAATATAAAGAGGGGTGTTGAATTCTCTTGCTTTCTCTATGATTTGGCGCATATTCAGAAGATGCTCCCGAGTAACTAAGGGAGTTAAAAGGGATAAGCATGCAGAATCAGTGGAAGGAAGCAGCGGACAATAATGCGGCAATGGAGAAGAATTGTAAACTCAGTTAACAACGACAACCAAAAAGTAAAGAGGCAACAAAGTAATCAGATTTTTGAATGTTCAGAGTGCGAAAGAGAGATAACATCACCCATCGGGCTTTTCGGTCACACGAAAGCTCGTGAAAGAAAACGCCTTGCATCATCTAATGCGTGTCAAATACTCGTCAGCGAGTAATGGCAGTAAGTGTAATTTATTGTGAAATAAAGTCTTTCAAAATAAATACGGTTATTAAGTTATTAAGAAAGTACAACAAATCATTGACACAACGTCTCACCGTAACAGAAAGAAATCGAATATTTATGTGTGTTAAGTTTTATAATCACTAAAGCTATCGAAATTCCACAGATCTTCAAGAAATCTCTAGAAAACCTATTTAATAATTATTAACTAAAACCTTACTCAATCAATAAATTCTTAATATAAAAACGTTTCTTTATGAATTTTTGAAATAATAGTTATTATTATTACATTATTATTTACTTTAGGGAAACTCACCTTAACAACTGAGACTTTAAGGGGATCCAAAACTTGTAACTCTATATCTTTATTGCCTTTGGGTATTTCATTAAATAATATTTGAACTGCGTGCGTCGAACAGTTGATAAATTCATCTCTTGGTTTTGTGATAAGGCAAGTTTTAACAAAATCGGCTATAACAAACAATACCGTATAATGGATATTAATCAGCGCCTAGTTACTTCAGAAATGACGATTATAGAGGGTGTATAATTCAGGTGATGGCCACTATTGCTATCTCTCAAACGGTAGTGCTACAAGATCGGTTAAATTAGAAAAAAGTTGCCATATTAGCATGCTTGTTGCATTGCTTATCTAAATCTTTTTACCGCGTTGCTAAATTCCCGTTAGTTTTTGACATACATGGTGATTTGTGAAAGACTACTAAATACATTTTGTTAAAAAATGTAAACACATTCAATTCATTTCCGAAACTCTGTTTAAAATTGAAAGTTTTACAATTATTTAGTGCTACAACATGTTTTCTTCAAATCTCATCTTAGACGTTTCGTATGGGGGCTACCACCACCAGCTTCATCTTACTTTATTATTTTTTTTTAAATACGGACCTCGATTTTTTGATTTCATTTTTAAAAGAATATGATCTCCCAAATACAATGATGTGTCGCACTCACCCAAAACACGGATAATAAAGAATATTTCAACACAAGTAATATTTTTTGTTCAAGTGTCGTGATACATTGTTTTTTTCTTTCTTATATTTTGTTTCTTTCTTCTAGTTTTTGAACATTATTATAAATATTATAGTGTTCATTTATTATATCAGACTGAATATATATTTTAGAATTTAGTTTTAGATATTTGTATACAGGGTACGAGCATTGGTATCTTGGTAACCGTAATAGATACGAATATGGTTAAATTGGGGTAAAGTTGCGCTTTGGGATGTTCACCAAGATGTTGTCAAAAAAGTTTTAAAAATTTCAAGTTTTAAAAAATCAAAAAAAAAACTAATTGCATATTCTCATACTCACTTTATTAGGGCTATTTAGATTTTCAAATTAGCTGATAATTTGTGAGATACAGAGGCCAACTTAATTTTTTTAAATACGGACCTGCGTTTGTTATTTCAGGTTTTGAAAGAACTCAGTCTCCTGAGTATAATGATATGTCACACTTTGTGTATACTTATAATATGTATACTTTTTTTTTGTTTTGGATACCTCAACAAAAATAAAACAATAATTTAATTATTATTTAAAATAATTTCAAGTCCGACTCTGGTGTTTTAAATTATTTAATCTAATTATATTCATCGCAACAATATAAATCAGCGCTGATTAACATTAAATAAGGAAATCGAGCCAATTGGAAGATACAAATAAATAATATACAGGTCAGCAATTTAGAGATATTAGGTACTTTTTTATTGTGAATTTGAAATCTCAGTATCTCAGTGTGCGATCTAATAATATGCATAATATTAACGTCCCTATTATAAATAAATCAACTTCTACAAACTAGTTTCTAATGCGCTACATGTTCAAAAGGGTTACCACCCTCCCTATTGCACAAATTTGTTTTTCGTTCAATTTTATTTATACCTCTTTGAACTCTCTTATACTTCCGAATGTATTTTGTACTCTTTATTGGAAATGTTGAGATGTATTGACTTTATTTTACTTTTACAAATGACGTCAGGCAATGAGATTACCAATACTCCTACCCCCAATTTGCAGCACCCTGTATATTATTAATTTAATTACTGTTAATACCTTTTTTGTTTTGCATTATGTGACAATGTTTCTATGCCCATATGGGGCTTCTATGTATTTTTGGGAAATAAAGATTACTTATCATACTTTTTTTGGGAGTTGATAATAAATAAAATATACAGGTCTGTATTTAAGAAAATGAAGTTGATGGTGGTAGCCCGAATTCGAAACGTAAAGGATGGTATTTGAATAAACTAGGTTTCAACGCGGAAAAACTTATAAAACTTATATGTATATTTAGGTACACTGTGTTTCCAAAAAGGGACGGTCCTTTAGATATTTAGATTTTTAAATTTAGATATTTAGAATTTTCAGAGGCATAAGCAGTAAATTTAGTTTAAAAACGGTTATATTTCAAGCGTCATTCGGTAGGTACAGTACAGGGTGGACCATTTTGGTTGTTTCTATAGGGTATCTAGGAAACCGTAAGAAATATTCAAATTTTGATACTGCAGTCTCGGGTTCTTCTTTTGAAAAATTCACAATGGCGCAAACGGATCGTGGCTATCTTGATCGGTTTCGAAGCTACAGGGGGATTCTCACATTTTGTACTTTTTGAAGATGTTCGATAGTTTGCTTATTTCAGCAACCACGGAAAAATGAATTATACATTCTAAAGGCACTTTCCTGTGTAGAATGCAGTGGCGTAGTCAGACTTTTTTCGAAAAAAATATTGTTTTAGATATTAACTATATCTACTTATGTTTTTTTTTAAATAGAACCCCCTGTATATTTTTAAATTTCCTGATTCAGCTGGGCATGGGCCTCTCGAAAATATATAACACTCTATATTTATTTTCACTATTAACCTCAGCATTTCAAATTTTTCTTAAAATACATATCCAGTTAGTAGTAGGCCGCGCCGAGTAACAAAGTAAACGGTTGTTATGGTGATCGGAGCATACCTTTGATGGATGCATGACATTTCATTTCAACAGATTGAAGTGTGTGTATTTAAATAATAAAAAATAAGTAAATTTGAAAATTTTGAGAAATATAATATATTAGAATGTTATATTGAGGCCTAACAAACAATGCAATGCAAAGGCAAATGACAGCTGATTTATATTTTGAGCGGTATCCTAAGCGCGAGCAACCAACCTCAGCCATTTTTAAAAGGTCAAAAAAATAGTTAAATCCTAGCCATCTAGGGCAACGGCCTAGCTACGTCGAAACACCGGTTCCCATTAGAACACCGAAGTTAAGCGACGTAAGGCGATACTAGTGGATGGACGGGTGACCGGTTCGCAAAAGTGTAAAATCTATTGACACACACTGCTCATTCACGCCGGTTTGAAGCCGGATAAGATCGGATATCTCGTGAGTAAGAGTCGATTTAGACACTTGCCAAGTCGGTAGGCCATTGACCATGATATGGCCGAGGACCGCGGTTTGGATTCCGCGTAAACAAAGTAGCAAAATAACGGGTAACGGGTAGCAAAATAATTAACTAATCTGGACTGCAGCAAAAAGGAGACGTTAACTGAAATCTTTACTTTACTAGCCATCTAGGTCCCCTGATATCACAGTTTGAACATTTAATGTAGTCTTTGTGTTTTTATTTTTTTTTTATACTAACTGAGAAGCCCGATTGAAGTAACCTGTGAGTGAAAAGAGCCTTGTGTGAATGTTTAATTCATTTTTACGTTGTTGCTGAAACAAACAAACTATCGAACATCTCCAAAAAGTACAAAATTTGAGAATCCCTCTGTAGCTTCGAAACCGATCAAGATAGTAATTTTTTCAAAAAAAGAACCCGAGACTGCAGTATAAAAATTTGAATATTTCTCACGGTTTCCTAGATACCTTATAGAAACAACCAAAATGGTCCACACTTTAATGACACTATAGTATTTTTGGAAAGGAAATTTAATGGCAAATCCACTAAGCTAAAAAATATAGGGTTGTTCACCAGTGATAAATGAGGTGTAAATTATAAGAGAATATGCATTTTCTACGAAAACTTGAAGAGGTAGGTAAAAAATGGTATAATACAATTTGATATAGCCAAGAATATTGTGCATCTGATTCATGTAAAATATACAGGGTGTTCCATTTAAATTAAATACTTATAACACTCTGTATAAGGTAGCACAATATTTATTATTAACAGAATATCTGAATCATAGCAACACAATATCTGATCAATAATTAATCTTCAGTAAATATTTAGTATTAAAAACTTTGATACCCTTGGAGAAATAAAGCCTAGAATCTAAAAATAGAATAATATACAGGGTGTTCCATTTTAAAAAATACAACTCTAATATTTTTTACTTATTTGGTACACTCTGTATCTTAAATTATTTTTAAATTGTAGCTCTAATATTGCTTCAACGAACCCAAAAAATAAAAATCTAATCATTTAGCTACAATACTCCGTGTCGTATGTGGTGAACAACCCTGTATAAAGTATTCCATTTAAAAATTTAAAAAAAATATAAAAAGTATTCCATTTAAAAAAAAAATATAAATATAAATATACCATTGCCCCCAAATTACGCATAAAAAATTGAAATAAAAATCACAAACCAAAAACCTAATATAGAGCTTTCCTAGCTGTATATGAGCATCAATCTAACTTCATTACACTATACTTTTTTATAAATGCAATAAAATGTTGGTAAATTGTCCGCGTATGATTTCTCGTCAAACATAAAAATTTGTATTTATAAACCGAGTTTATATATAAATAAATATCTATTGGCTTATTCGAAATTTTACATAGATTTATTCCAACCCTCAACTGTAATAGATTTATGATTAACAGCGAAGTAATCGAGTAACAAATTATCAGTTATTTTTTCAGAAAAAAAATTGGTTTATTTATATTCTAAATGTCATATCTGACAATAGCCGTAGATCATTATATCAGTTTCAATATAATTCAAACTACAAACAACCTCTAACGTCAAATTTTAACTAAATTAACGCACACCATAAATACGAATTTACACCCTAAATTTTAACAGGAAAATAGGCTTACGTTGTTTATCTAAAATTTTTCCCAAAACACTGGAATATATAAAGAAAAAACAAATACACACTATCAAACACTGATCCATGTCTATACTATTCACAGATTCGGTGATCTAATAACCAACATCGAGACTTGTTCGTATATTTGTTCAGAAACGCTTTCACTGACTGGGTTACAAATGCAAGTTATGTAATTTACCTGAAATTGCACATATACGAAAAAGTTTAAATGTTTGAACGAATATGGACTTGAACTATTATACGGGAAACGTCTTTAAATACAGTGTCTGTGTTATTTCAGATAAAATATTTAAATATAGTTATTTTTTATACAAGACGATAAAATGTAATTTAATAACTCGTAATGTAATGGACTTTAAACGTCGACCGAAAAGATTAATTCACGAGGGATGAAATCGCGAGTGAATTAATTTCGGGAGACGATAAATGCAATTTTATCTTCGTGTATAAAACAACATTTTTTTCCATAGCGAGTTACGTTTTAAAAAATATCTAGAAATTCTTATTTCAAGGAATTTATTACGAGTAGAAAAAATATTGTGCTGGGTTGGCGTTGGTTTCTATGTAATTTGACAAATAAATAAAGGGTTCTCTTTAGTTGTCAGTTTTGAGTTAATATTTTTTAATTCTCTTTCGTGTCGATTACTGATTGAATTGGAGCCAGAAATGGCTCAAAACGAAATAAGTAAATTACCAACAGATCTTCAGGCACAGAGTCCAAACTACTTCCATTTAAATCCCGAATAACTTATGAAAAGGAATACAAAATTTTTCAAAAATGGAAGCAATTAAAAAACGCGCGAGAAGAAATAAAGTTTTTAACCTATCCTCGCTGTTAAAGTATCATTTAATCTACCCTTGCGGTTAAAGTACTATTTTATCTACTATTTTTGATAGATATAAGGCAATTTTAACAATTGCTATGGAAAAAAGTAACTTAATAATTATTAAACATAAGTAATAATAAAAACATAAAATGCTGGTTTACAGTTATAAAAATTAAAGGTATCAAAATAAATGTAATATTTTATTTAATACTTCATACGGGATGCCGGTTTAGTTAATAAGTTTAATTAATATTTTACACAATAACAAAATCGTGTAATGTTTTACAGCCTTCCCGGAAGAAACTATTAGAGCGGATATTTGTAAAGAATATATTTTTTTAGGTAAAGAAATGAACAAAAAATAATATATTACTGGATAAATATGCTTTTTCCATAATATCTTATCTATTACTTTACGGTCTTGTCAAATTTTACTCAAAAAAGATGTTGGCGGGAACGTTTTGGAGTATTTCTGCAGTGGGATTCTGTAAGCTACGTAGCAAGAAATTTCCTGTCTAGCCTATGCTATTTGTATACAATTGATGAGTCACTAGACAGGAATGGTCTTTTCTTTTGTTTTTTTTTTGGGTCATATATCAATGGGAATCCTTATGGAACTTGTAGGCGCATCAAAGATGTACAGGGTGTCCCATTTTAGTTGAAATATTACGGTATCTCCGTTATTCGTGAAGATAGAAGGGTGCGGTTTGCACAAACCTGTGCTACTTTTTTGTCAAACGGAAGATGCCGTAAACAAAATTTTCATAGCCCTCTTCGTTTCTTAGCTACGGGGTCTTTTTGAAAATATTGCAATTTGGGACACCCCCTGTATCTCTGTTATTGTTAAAGGTATCGAGCACTTATAAAAAAAGAAACAAAAATCTAGTACAGCGGGTGCGTCTCAAAAATGGCTCACCTCTATAACTTTTTTATTTTTTCAGATAAAAAAACTATAGATTTTTGGTCACTTCCTGTTTCACTTGAAATAACTACAACTTCGGATTTTTATATGACACCTTCGGTATTTTTTTATTTTATTCGATAGAAAATGACGTAAAATAAGCTTTTTCCAAATATGCTAATGAACTACCCTAGTTCTATTTGAAAAAATTGAGATATGATTAAATATACGATTTGAGCATCTTTTAACCGGCCATGGCAAGACACGAAAAACATTACACGCTCAAATATATTTTTCCACAGCTCTTTGATTAAAAATTAGTGTTTTTAACACAGTCGTGGAACTCTAGATTGAAATTTAAAATACGATTTTTTATGCCAAAATGTCAAAAGTTGACATATGATATGTCATTCTACTTAGAATGTCATTTTCTATCGAATAAAGTAAAAATATACCGAGGATACCATTTAAAAATCAAAAGTTTTAGTCATTTCCGGTGAAACAGGAAGTGGCTAAAACAATTGAATACGTCAATCATTCCTAATTTATGTGATATACTAACATACCAAAGTTAGTTTTTTTATCTGAAAAAATAAAAATGTTATAGGGGTGCGCCACTTTTGAGACGCACCCGTATAGAAGCCTATCTCAACACAAAATCATAAAAAATTCTCTGCGGAAATGCATCATTTTCTTTTTTCCGACTTTAGAATAACTGAAATTGGTTATATGAAAATATGCACCTGGTTTATATAATAAAGACTTTTCTAAACATAAGCACACAAAAAACTTCTTGCGGAATATTATATATTTTATTTTATTTTTGGTAATAAAGTACTGTTAAATTTAGAGGACTGAAATACTTAACAGAATGCTAATAGTTACATATATGTTTCTGTTTTATATTCTAAACGTTCTTCTAGTAAAACACACTTCTATACTATACCCAAAATATGTGTAGAACTATGCCCAAAATGTTTCGCGAAATATTCATCAGCATTTCTAGAAATACTTTCAGAAGTAACCCCAATGATTGTCTTATATACCCTCTACACTATGCGGAAAACAGTCCGAAGCAAGCCAAGGTCGTATTTCCTCGTCTAACTTTGTCTCGTCTCGGTTGGCTCCGGTTGTCTCGGATGGTTTGAGCTTGTCTTAGTCGATTTTTACTTCTTAAAAACGCCTCGAAACTGCTCGTGAAATTGCGGAGAATGGCGTGAGAGAATTTTTACAGCGCTTTCACATGCAGCGGAGCGTCCGCGACGGAGCGTCCGCAACTTCGAGCAAGTACTATGAGTTTATATGAACAATTTCACTTGGGCGCGTATGCTCCGTCCGACGGCTATCTTGGAAAAACACGACGGACGGTCCGTCGCGGACGGTCTGCTCCATCTGAAAGCGCTGTTAGTGAGGAAAACTATAAACGATACTTTTGCTAGCACCCAGCATGGTTTGATATAATCGATTCAAAAATAAGATATAATTAGACCATTTTTTAAATAGTTTAACACAGTGAATTATAAGCTGATAAAAGGCGGATCAGAACAGTCACTGTTGCCCTACAGTTTTATAGTTTTAAGTTTTGGAAATATAATTTTTACTATATTGTAATTAATAATATTTGACAATGATTAAAACTAAATATTCTTGTGTAACCAGATGACCTTTAAATGTTAGCCAATTTAATCTACCATCAACTATTTTCTAAACGCACTGTTTTTGATTTTTCATATCAGTGTAATATAGTAGAATAATTATATTACACTCCATTATAAACTAATGATATTTATTCATACACCATGTTTACTTATTTTTCTGAAGCCACCACAAAGGTTGAACTTGATTGCTTCGAGAAGTAGTACAAAGAATATAGACGAAGTTGTTTTCATGTGACTGGTTTCATTCTTATATCTTATATAACCGATTTCAGCTAAACGAAAGTTTTATTACAAATTCCACCAACAAGACCGGGTTTATATCTAGATTAATGGAAAATTTAGTCAAAAATATTAACATGCAGGAAGCTGCGGAGGATCCCGATGGACTTTTTATCAGAAAAAGTTATACAGGGTGGCGCAACCTCATTCGCCTCGGTTGATTATACGAAAACAGAAAGATGTAGAAACAAAATTTATGGGTATATGTGGGGAGACGATGTGCATAATTTAAAATTATTTTGAAAAATACAGGGTGTTTCAGAACTAAGATCCATACCAAAATATTTTTTTTCTTATGGAACACCCGGTATTTTATTTCATTTTTCGATTCTTGGGCCCAAAAAGGCATTTATTATAAGGGTCAAATTTAATATGTCTAAAATCTTTAGTTTTTGAGATATTTAAAGATATTTAAATTTGCATGCTACAATAGAATAGACTATTAACATCCTGTAGGTTACTTTTTAGAATCAATTCTTATGCTGAGTTTAAAGGTAGAGAAATAAACTTTATTGAAAAATGGTATTGGTTCCTTAAATTTATACAGGGCTATCAAAAGTTGCTGATCTATTTTAAGGATATATTTTATATAAAAACTTCGTTATTTCAAATGCAACACCCTGTATTTTTTTAAATAAATCAATTTAAATGCTGTTTCAAACTTATATTGGGGTTTCCTATATCTATCTAGCTCAGATTTTGAGTAAAAAGCGATTTTTAAATAAAATTGCAATCAAGTAGATGGTTGGGGTCGCCATGGCAATTTTCTAGTGACAGTTAGTAACTATTTTCAAAGTCGACATTAGTTTATGGACATTATTATCTATAATTTATAACCGAGGGGTAAACAGCTGACCCAAATTCTGTACACTAAACCTCCTAATAGCTAAAGAATTCCTGAATACCTCCTGGGAAATCCCATATATATTTTTTGGGTATTCCTTGATTTGTAATTAGTTTCAAACTACAGAAAGTTGAAAAAAGTATCCAATGTCGACTTGATAAAAAGAGTTTGGTTTGGTTTGGTTTGCTCATTAGTTTGGTCGATTCCTATTCTTAAATCATCTATCTCTTCCTCCTGATTTTCAAAAATACGTTCTTCGGCTATTTGCGAATCATCAATGACAGATTCATTTTCATCACTTACTGCAGATTGTTCTTCTGAATTTTTTGGTATTGTAGTCGAGTTCCATGAAAAATTCTCAACTTGCATTCCCAGCTTTTCAGTTACAGCAAGTGCTTCCTGCAAAGAGTCCATCACAATATTCTTAATGTATGATCAGTAAATACATTTTCAATATCTTTCACCTCATTATTTGCACTCCTCACTTCAATTTTTGCATCGTTTTGGCCCTTAGAACGAACTCTTTCAAATCTTTTCTTGAGAAACGTATTATAGCTCTTAAATCATGGGTAATATTATTATGTTATGTTACTCTATGGA